CGGGCCGGAGTAGGGCCGGATATGGTTATACAATGCGGCTCAGATCCGTGCCGAATGCGGCCCGGATCATGGATGCCAGACCCGGGCCACTGCAGGACCGTCATTCATTGCGGTATGTGGGCCGAGTGTCGTGCCGTGTCCGCGCCAGAGCTGGGCCAGACCAATTTTGCTGACTGGGATGTTCACATAGTGGCTGGATGTCTGACAATCAGGTTCAATTAATCATGGCAGCCCTAATCATGATCAGAATTAAAATTTGATTAGTTGTGCAGACCTAATAGGTTTGGAAACCTTAGCTAGCCATCCAAACGTGTGTGTCCATGTGTATGTCAGACCAAACATGAAAGAATATGTAAACTTGATCAGGGCGACTGTTACGATTTTTAAAACGTTTCACACAATTGTGATGGCTTAATTATTCCTCAGTAAAAACATTTTCGATATAATCAGTTATATTTCCTCCCAAAGATGCTAACATATGACAAATTTTGCCAAAGTGTGTAAACTTATATGAGCACAACTGTAAAAAATAAATTCCTAGAGTGTACAAATATAAAATCTAACTAAACAGCCAAACCAAATGAAAGGTCAGTTAGGCATTGCTAAAAATGGAAATTCGTGTGCAAAAATGCAAATGCAGAATCAAGTGAGTAAATCGAGTAGTGCTCATTGTGCAGGGATGAATGGGAGATCCTCGGGGTCAGTCGTACAGAGCACTGTTGGGAGTACAGCAGTCTAACAGCTTCCGAATAGAAGCTGTTCCCCTGGTGGGCCTAAACCGGATGCTGCTAAGCCTCCTGCCTGTGGTGAGAGGATCAAAGAGAGGGTGTGCGAGGTGAGCGGAGTCCTTGATGATGCTGAGACCTCCTGTTGCAGGTGCGTTGGTGGTGGGAAGTCTGCTCTTGACAATCTTCTGTGCTGCGTTCACCACACTCTGCAGTGCCTTCGCCTCTGCAGCCGAGCACGTGCTGTGCCACATAGGTGATACAGGGCGCTCCTCACCACACATTCGTTGAAGCTCGTCACGGCGGCACTCCCCAGTCCAATTCGAAATGAAAAATCAGAGATTTGTCTCAGTGGTTTCAAGTTTTCACAAAATATTGGTTCCCTTTATTCTCTTATCTCTGTACAATCGATCATTACAAAGAATTTGAAGAATTATCCTCAACATAATCTATATTATTGTTTCCACCATTTTCTAGAAAATAGGCTCGGTTATTGACATTTCTCGAGCCATTTCAAATATATAACATGCTCTAAATATCTAATATTGTAATTATATTTATAGTTTTGTATGATATTCTTTCTTACAAATTCAATTATTAGTTAATGTACATTTCAAGTACTTTTTTCTTTAGGTCTGTGTTGTAAGAAATTCCCTCAGGAGTATTTTCCCTTTTTGCAGGCGTTTATTCGAACTTTTGAGATCCATGGGTTGTCATTGTTTTGTTTTAATTGTTGTTTGATAGTTATGATTGTTTCAGTATTCATAGAAACTGAATTCCAGTCCTTAGTCCGTAAACGTTTAGCACATCGATGTCCTCATCTCCCTTGTCAATATTGTGTGTTGTTGTTTGCAACTACTCAACTGTGAATACTGGCAAGTGGTTGCTGATGTCATGTATAATAATACTCCGCTCACCAAATTACCCATGATGTTTGCAAAATTATCGTCTATTAATGTTATACAAAGAGAAGTGATTCTGCTGGATTTGGTAATTTTGCTAAGTGTTGAGGCTATCAAAAAAATTCATGGATGCATTCTTCTGTTGTTTTGTTTGTATGGATTTTAGACAATCAATGTTATAATTATTGCAGAAGAAAAGGACGTTTTTCTGTGTAATTTTCTTACAATGCTTTTAATCTATCAACATGACAAATAATTCCATATTTTGCAACCAAAAACTTTAGCGGCGATGTCATGACATTAAGGTGCAATCGATTGTCAGGAAGAAATGCAAAATGACCTTTATGAAGAACCTTGAAATGTTACCATAGAATTGCCTGTATTGTTAATAAAGGCTTTTATGTTGAAAGTTTGGACAGATTGTTTTGATTTCAATTATGGGGACAAAAGTTCTGTGTGAATCGCACTGCATTGTACTGTATTTGATATAGGAATTGGTTTTTGTATTACTTATTAAAATAAAACAATCAGGCTCCAAACCAGTGAAACACATAATCAATCCCTTTATGGGTGCACAAAAAAGACATAAGGGGGTGTTATGATATAAATCCTTTAATATATGAAAGAAGCACATTTCAACACAATATACAGTGTAACAGACCATGTCCCACAGTTTTCATCTTCGCAGACAGGATTTATGAATAAAGCTATCACCAGAGCTGTGTTTACAATGTTCAGTGGTTTCTGTAAAGCAAAAAGACGCATGCGTGATAGGATGCATCTTGACGAGTGAATTCCAGATCATTTACACTTGATTACTGACACAGCATTGAGACCTATGAGGCCCATGTGGTCGAGTGGATTTCTGTTGTTAACAACAATCATGATGGCCCCGGGGGAGAGGTCTCCGATCGGCCCCTGGTGAGGTAAAATGCACCTGAAGATGACGATGATGCTCCTGCTAACAACCCATTTTCTGACAGACACTTTCATGAAGACAGCGTGGGACAACAATGGCTTCTTTGCAAATTATAAATGTCATTGCCTGAAAACGTAAGGAACGGAATGTTCTCATTCTTAAATCTAGACAAGGAAAAAAAAACACACTTCACTGACAGCACCTCTCTATTCACATTCCTCATTTGTGCTGTGCATTGCATAAAGCGAACTTGTGTTGTGAGGAGCGTGTGCTAGGTGCATGCCGTTTTCCACTGAGACATTCATGGGATGCATAAGGCCTTCATGGGAATGATTTAAATGCCCACGAGAAAGCTGAGGAATTAACAAGCTAGTTTATGCAAGGCCTTTATCATAAAAGGACAATGCAGAAAGAAAGCTCTTTGGAAATTCGTGGGGGTGGGCTGGGCTTGTCAAGGAGGGGGAACAAGTCAAGTCCAACTTTAAAGGATTCAGAAAAATGTTGCTACATCATCCAATAGCCTGCACGGCTGCATATCTGCCACATTTATAAAGGTAAGATATCCCCAGAGGTCCTCCTCTTCTAAACACACCTCCACTCTCCTACCAAAACGTGACATGGGGAACGGGTGTTTCAAACCCTGAGCAAACGCTTAGGTTCAAAAGCTTTCGGAACAAAGCTACTCGTGACTGATTTCATTGCGCGTGAAGAAGATCAAACTCAAGATCTGTGATCGTTTAATTAAAGTAAACACAACTGTCACATCAAGCAAACACTGTATCTGTGTTTAATGCTCTCAATAATTCTACATTGGCTCTGAAGGCAAATCTGTGTTCTCCTAAAAAAGAAAAAAAAAGCTCCGAAAAAGCATTTATCAGCACTGAGAGAGATGGTGAGGTGGTGAGAATTTAGTTTGAAAACAAATAACTTGCTGTGAGACGAGTTCGAACAACCAAAGCGTGTAAAAATATATCTGGATGACAGGCGACCAGACACGGGCGCGTAGGCGAGCGCGCCATGTGGGACGTGCACACCGCTTCAGATCACACGGCATGAAATTCCAGATACGTATTTCCACAGGTAAAAAGTGTTGCTGTGCTGTTCCCAGAATATTAAGGCGACTCATCTTTCATGTTTTTTTTTCTTTCGGCGTGGGGGTTGGGGGGTGGCTTGTACTTGTGCATATACCACCAACATGTTGACAGAGTGCTGTATCACTTTTGCAAAGAGACACAAACATCTCGCCATGTTGACAACCCACGTGGCGTGATGGTCTGCTGACAGGTGGGACGGGGTGCTGCTCCTCAGATAAAACCAGCAGCTCAAGATGAGACGAGACAAATGGCTGAGGCGCAAATTGAAACAAATCATCTGAACAAGTCGTGAGTCTGAGGCCAATAACATTGGGAAATGTCAAGGGCCTGGTACTGCACTACAACTGTCATAATCTCATTCAAGTTCAAGTAGCATTCAGATCATATTGACAAGATTCTAAGGTAACATCCTAGTTTTCGAATCTATTTAACCCATCCCAAACAAATCGACATGACTGCACAGATGACAAATGCTGTATCTTGTTACAAATATGTTCATTCTCCTGTAAACTGTTTCCCCAAATTAAAGGGACGGTTAATTCACATTCTGCCTAGCAGTATCTAGAAACGCAAATTACTAATGTCAGCTCTTTGAACAATAACAACATTGAAAACTTTTGCTTGTGGGTGACTGATATGATGTGGTCAGACTAAAACAGTTTGCCACTTTGTTGCCAACTGCTTGGTTTAATAAACACTCGGGTTTTTAAATCTCTATACATATAGCTATGTGAAAGAAGAATATAAAAGCTAAAACACATTGTTGAAAATAGCATTTCAGCATAAGACAAATGTGGTAAAAGGGCCAAAACCAGCAATCCTGTGTGCCTGACGGGTGCTGTGAGAGAAACAAAAAGTGTGTTGGCTAAGGTGGCTTACCCGGCCATCCCCATATAGGTTCCAAAAGTGATTTCTCTGTGCATGAAGTACGGCCACTGTAATTCACCACACACGGACGGAAAGCGAAATATATTTTAAATGAGGCCAACAAAATCGATTTTCACAAATGCCCTGTGGTTTTTTTGTTTGTTTCTATGTTTTTTATTCCCAAATCAAGTCAACTGCGGGCTCGTGTCAGACAGGAGGACAAACGCTGGAAATTAATGGCACTTTTTACATTTGGACTTGGGCTTTAAATGTGCTGAAACATCTGAAGTGTCAGGCATGGTCTCGTCGAGCTCAGGGGTCACCAATGAGAAGACAGACAAGAGTGATGTATCCCTTACTGAGCGGCAAAAAAAATGGCATTGTCACACTTGACCAAAAGAAAGGGGTCATTTTCCTTTGTCGGCGTCCCCTCGGTGGCTTTTAATCTCCCATCTGACAAGCATCCATGTGCAACGTCTTGCCATTAACGCACTTGTCTGAGAAGGGGTAGGCAGCGAGGGACTATCAAAAAAATATATAGATATACAGATGTGCTACCTAGCTCAGAGCAGTTACACATCAGACAGGAGGGCTGCCTCATAGACCTGCAAGGGCTTCTGAGGGACTACTCATGCCACCTCCCTGGTCACCAGTTGGCTTTGACAGCTTTGATGTCGCTCACCAGGTTTTGAGCGAGGCAGATTCCAAAAATCTGGAGAGGAAACCACACAGGAAGTGAGGGATTAAGGATGGTCATACTGGATTAAGGAAGAAAAAAAAAAAAATCGGACCGTTACGCTGCGAGGATTTACTCAACCGTGGGGATCTCGCCACAAGGGGGCAGTGACAAGACAAAATCACAGCCCCTAATGGCCACTGGTTGACCATATGAACGTCACACTTACCTGCAAAAGTGCGATCCCGACAAAGGTGCCAGCAACAATAATGAGGTTGTCCTGCAGCCACTTTTCAAATTGCCCCACACAGCCTTTGGTATAGATGTATTTTTGTTGATCCAGCTTCTGTACAAAGCACAGGGGGAAAACAACTATTAAGGCACAAATAAATATTTTTTAAAAAGCACGCAAATGATCTGTTCTGAACTTTGACCGCTCCTGTGTCACAGGAAAATGCGAGTGAGGCTGAGTCATTCCCCTTCAGAATAAGTGGGACTGCTTCTTGTGCCTGACAAGATACTACTAATTTTTGTGCTATACAGTGGAACCTCGATTTAACGGACTGATTGGGGAGGAGAGCAGAGAGAGCTGTTCGAGCAGATTGTCCATTACATCAAAGGACTTTTTTTCATGACCTAAAATCAAAATGATTGCATAACTGTTTAGAAAGTTTTAAAGTTTATCCAAACTTACCTTGTTTGCTGCTTGGGGGGAGGATAATGTCGCACTTCTGGTCGTGTTCATGAGCCACGATATTAGCGCTTTCTTTTTTTCACCTCTATTAAGATTACATGCCATAGACAAGGGCTTTACAAAATACAAATGTGTACTGGACAAAAAAAGCATATTCCAGACATGTGTAAATGACAAAAAAAAAAAAACAACCACAGATATGAACAGGAAGATGTGAGCGATGTTCCTTTTGAGCCACGACCTCAAGGCATTCTTTATTCTATTACAGTTGATGGGACAGTCGACCCTACTTACACCGCTGCCACATTTTGTACCGTAATGTTTTTGATAATAAAGGTCGTCCTGCCAACATGGCCGCCGCATTGACACACTATTCAGTCTGCCCTAGTCTACTGTAAAGCCTATTTATCGATGATGAGGGAGCAGCACAAACTGGAAACATGCGACCAGACTGTTGATAATTGTGGTGAATTTTTGAGCTAACGCACTTTGACATGTACGGTACAAAGGTGCATTTTGAGTAGACTGGAGACTATTTTCTGTCTGAATAATCTGGGATCTGTTGGTTTCGGGTCTATTGTATCGAGGTTCCAGTATACCCTGTGCTCTGTTCACCAGTAACAAAAATGGGGCATAACAAGTGCAGCCTCAGATTCGGAAAACATTTTGTTCACAAGCACAAGCTGATGCTAATTTTTAACCAATAAGGGATGAAGGGAGCTCCTTTGGAGCAAGCTGTGTAGGTGGTCAACATTCTCAAAAGGTATTTCATTTTCAACCTTAGTCGGACTGCTGAATTCTCTGAATGTCTCCATAAACAAGCTGCGCATCACTGATAGCGCCGGCAAAATATTAGTCGCCGGGGCGTAAACAGACACGGGAAAAACAAATTCATACCTACTCAGCGGACAGCAGTTCACTCTGCTGCAGTGTGCCTAGCAACAAGCAATCTGTCGGACTGCAGTGCAGTGAGTCGGAACTGCCACACCCACCCACCCACCCAAC